AGTGGAATAAGCGCTTCCCTGGCAAGCATAAGGGCCTGAGTTCAATCCCCGGTTCTGCAAAAAAAAAAAAAAAGTTTACATTTATACTGTTCTAAGTTCTAACGCTGTTCTAAGTGATAATATATAAATTATATATAAGTTACATAAAAATTCAAAGAGTGAAAAGTAGGAAATTTTTGAAGGGGAAAGCTATAAGAACAATGCCCGTTTCTTGACTTTGGAAAATTCTGATTATTCTTGGGGCCTCAACCTAAACACTGAATCAGCACCTCCCACAACCTAAACACTGAATCAGCACCTCCCACATGACCTTCCAAGGGACCGCTCCACCCGAGTCCACAGCATACCCAGGTGGAGGGGTAAGAGCATCCCTTGGGGGTGAGGGTGCCACCTGTGGCGCGGTCTTGCACATCAGCTGCCTCTGGGGTTCTCCCAGTGCCACGCAAGGCGCCTCAGCTCAGCCTTCTGAGCACCGCTTTCTCAGGGTCCGCTCAGCTCACAGCAAACCTGAGTCCTTCTGCTGCCCCAGAGAGGAGTGGGTCCTAGGCAGGCAGCGCTGGCTGCCACCCAAACACTGCCCCACTTTCGGTGGCTCCCTGTGGGATGGCTGCCTACCCTCTTCTGCACGGTACCATGACTGCTGTGCTCCTGCCAGTGACTGGTTTATGAGCACTGATCAGATTCTACCCAGAAAACATGGGGGGAAGTGTGCTGTGGTGCCCTAGGGCAGCCGCCCTCACCCGGACTGGAAGTGATGTGGGGGCCGCGGTACACCTGCACACGAGGCGCACACACAGACAGCCATGGTGGGTGGACTCTGAAAGGAAGCAGCGCCCCCAGGAAGGCAGACAGGAGGAGGGCTGAGTGCTGGGCAAGGGGCCTGGGCTGCAGCTGACTGCTGCAGGTGCTGCTTACAGCTTCCGTGGACTCACAGCCAGAAGTCCTCTAATTGATGTGCTACCCGAACTCACCTCTTCAAGTTTGCTACCAGCTTTCCTGTGTGGAGTCCCACTCATTCTTTGGCACACTTGAGGGCTGTCCGCCATGCATCGAAGTGAGAGGGTTTTCTCCAACTCAACTAGGCTAACAGTATCCTCTCAATTTCTAGGACATCCAAGAGTCAAAAATCTCCCAAGCTGGCATGTAACTGACCTCTGTTTCCTGCATGTTTGCTTCCTCTGGTCAGCTACTCTGAAATCCTTATAAAGAAAAGAATCTTGGGATGGGAAGATAGTTTGGCCATGTAAGCAAGAGAAAAGGGTCCTAATTATCTTCTTCTAAACGTATGTGGTATAGTGTCTCACCAAGCAGCTGGGACTTGTAATGATCCTCTTGTTTTCAGCCTCCCCAGCGCTGAGATTACAGGCGTGTGTGCACCACCATGCCTGGTCTCAGTGGCCAGCTCACCCCCTGGGGAGTGGCCAGCACCATATGTGGTGCCAGGGATTGAATCCCACTCCGTGCACTTGACTAACTAGGCGCTTTAGTCGGCTGAGCTATCTTGCTGGTGCTGGGATTTTTTGTGTTCTACTGATACTCAGCACATGTAGCTCGCTGGTTAAAAGCATAGCTCCAGCTCCACCATTTGCTAGAGGACAAGTCCCTTGCAGTGTTCCGCTGCTGAGGAATAGGGCAGGGGCTACAGGTGGAAGCACACGGGCGTGGCCGTGTCAGTCCTTGGGGTGCTGTGTCCTTGGCATGCGCTCCGGAAGTGCTGGCTGCGGCAGTGCTCCTGAGTGCACACTGTAGTGTCCATCCCACTGGAAGGTATCTTACACGTTTTCAGCATAGTCTTGGTTTTTGTCATCTTTGATTATTATTATTTTTTTTAATTTTATTTATTTTTGTGTGTGTGGCCAGCTCAGCCCACCAGGGGGCGGGGCTGGTTGGCATGTGGTGCTGGGGATTGAACCGCGGTCCCTGCGCTTTGCTAAGCTTGTTCTAAGTAGGTGCTTTAGACCACTGAGCCATCTCACCAGCCCGATTATTTTTGTTTTGAGACAGGGTCTCACTATGCAGTTGTTTTGTTTTGTTTTTTTAAGTATTTGGTACAGGATCTCACTACGCAGCTCGTTCCCCAGCACTGGGATCTCACTGTGCAGTTTAGACTGGCCTTCAACTCTGTAGCACAGGCTGGCCTTAAACTCAGTGATCCTCCTGCCTCAGCCTCCCCAGGGCTTGCATTATGGGCATAGTGCTTCTCAATACATCAGAATCTTGAGTTTAAGAGCTGGGAAAGAGTATATAAAGGGGGTCGTCACCCCTACATTTACTGGTGTGGCAGTTGTGGCCTGAGGGAGTTGTACAACTTGGCCAAGGTGATGTAGCTAGTTTGTGGCAAACATAAACCTTAACAGTTTTCTGGGGTGTTTCTTCGTCCCCTAATCGTGGCCATTAAATATTTAGTGCACCACCCATGCTTATATATTTTTTAATTGGTTTTGTTGAGTTTAGCTATTTAGCATCTCTTGACAGTCCTCATTTTTATTGGAATGTTCATTCTGCTGAATTGTGCCTTAAAAATTGAGAAGCTTACTCACAGGAAGGAAGCTAATATGTAGAAATATGTCAGCTTTTACTACTAGAGAAGTGCTCTCTTTTGTATTCAGGTTTATTTTTTATCAGAGATGAATCTTTAGGATTCTCTTTGTTGGCATTAACTTAACATTGACTATTGCCTACTGTAACTAGCTGAGACCAGGAGGAGGCTTAATAGCTAAAAGCATGCACAGGAAAGCACAGAATTCTTGATGATTCTGGTTGGAAGAAATCATCTGAAATCCCTCTCCCCTCCCTCCCCCTCCCCCTCTTTCCCCTCTCCCCCTCCCCCTCCCTGTCCAGCTCCCATCAACCCTCTCCCTCTTTCTCTCTCTCCCTCTACCCCTCTCCCTTGAAATAATTTTGGAAGGAGTATACTCAGAGTAGGTTTTCCTGAGTTACATTGTTTTCATTGACTTTCCTTGTTTTCAGTTACAGGTTTATGATAATGGATCGCTTTGGGAGTGACCTTCAGAAAATATATGAAGCAAATGCCAAAAGGTTTTCTCGGAAAGCTGTCTTGCAGCTAAGCTTGAGAATTGTATGTGAGCTACATTCTTCTTATCTTTTAAATACTGTTTTTGGTCAAGGCAGCCTGTGTTGGAGCTCAGTCCTCTGCTGGCTGGTGCGGGGTACTGCAATAATTCTGTTCTTGCTGCTTTGTAGCTGGATATCCTGGAGTACATCCACGAGCACGAGTACGTGCACGGGGACATCAAGGCCTCGAATCTTCTTCTGAGCTACAAGAACCCTGACCAGGTAGTCTTGCAGCTTCAGTTTCTGCTCTTTAAAGCATGTCATTTGAAAATAGATATGGTTGTGTTGAACTCTTGAACCCAGTCAGAAGTTTTACTTTTCAAAGTAGATACAGTAATAATAATATTTCTTCTTGACACTTTTATCTAGTTAACATTCCACATTTTTGATGCAGTTTGTTGGCACCTTATCAAGTTGGCTATTTTGCCCTAAATAATATTCAGAAGAAGTGCTTGTGATACAAAATGAATTTCAAATAGCTATTTGGGGGTGGAAGCTTAAAATTATATAGTGCACCAATGAATTATGTTTGCCTGTCTGCTTTGTCACTTTTTTTATTTCCTTTGTTCAAGAAATCCATCAAATGTAAGTGTTCTGTTACTTGGAAAATTTGGTCTTTAACATGTTGATTATTCAAATCAATTGGTTTACAGAAATATCTGAGCTGTCTAAATTTGTGTACCCTTAGTGTTTGGAATTCAAATGTGCGTTTTTTACTTTATTACATTCCTTTTGTAAATTTTACTTTGTTTAAGGGAACAAGAAAAGCAGAGGCTATTTTATTTTATTGGGTTGGTTTCGCTGGAGTAGACAGATCTGTATGATTTTCTTGTAACTTTTATGGTTTTGATAAAAGCAAATGGCTTATGGTTGGACTGTGGCAATGAATGTATAGTCCTGCTTCTTACTTGATCTTATCCAAAGGGAGATTTATTTTAAGTGTGTTGGCTGCTTTGATTATTGCTGTCCTCGTATGTCCCTTCCCTTCCCCTCTGACCTACCTTTTCCACTGTTCAGTTCTCCATCTCTTTCCTGTCGTCTCTTACGATTGTTTATTCCTCTCCTGTCGGTTGCGTGCACATGGAGGTCTGGAGGAGGGGACAGTTTATGGAAGAGAAGTTGCTTTATGCAGTGCTGATGGACAGGTCTTGGGCAATCGCAGGACTCATCTCTGTTTTTCCCAGTCATCTTGTTTCAGGTGTTTCTCTATTAAAAACAAAATGCATCCAAGAAGCTGGAACACACTCACATCTGTTTGCACAGGATTAAAACATGCTGCTTTGGTTTAGATAGAACTATTTTGCAGCTCTTACCTTTCTAGGCATTTGCTTTGGATGGATTTACACTTCCCTCCTGCACCCACATGCATACAGCAGGTGGCTGTGAAATAGAAGAGAGCACACAGTGTTGTGGATTAATCGGCCCACTTTTGTGTGCTGACAGATGCGTGAATGTGTAGTATTCAAATTTAGCCTTTATTTTGAAGAGTTGAAGTTAACATGTAGTATTCACAAGTAGAGAAGGGCTTCATTTAAAAGTTCTTCCAATCATTATTACAATCTTTGCAATATTTTTATGAAGTAATTTGGCATTCAATTATTTTACAATTGAAGAAACAAGAATAGAACAATTATATCATATATTACCTGCGTTGGCATTCTTCTGTGCAGTGCTTTCCTTTGTAGAAGGTGTCAGTTGTATTATAACTTGTACTGATGCTTTGCTTTCTGCTTAATTTTTTTTTTTTCAGTTTTGTTTTAAACTATAAAAAAGTGTAGGATTTAAAGGTCTTGCTCACATTGAGGAGAAAATACTAATTACAAGTTTAGCACATACTTGCCTGGAGAAGTATATAAAGTTAAGTGATACTGTCTGGCCTATAGCAACATGAACATTTAACACCTTTATTAAAAATAAAGGGGCCGGGGAGATGGCTCAGTGGAATAAGCACTTCCCTGGCAAGCGCAAGGGCCTGAGTTCAATCCCTGGTTCCACCAAAAAAAAAAAAAAAAAAAAAAAAAAAAAAAGAATCCAGGGCTGAGTGTGTAGCTCAGAGGTGCAGAGCTTGCCATGGGTCTAGTCACGAGCACTACAAGGAGAAGGAAGGGAAGAAGCAAATGAGAGCAGGTACAGAAGAAGGACACATTCTTTGGAAACACAGTCAGTTGCAGAATCGAATATTTGCTTTTGTGGGCATTTTAGATCTGACTTGTTTGGTGCACTGTGATTTGTGTTGGTAGGCGGCGAATCAACTCTCTGATGCCATTACTTTATTTCTGTTTCAAAGTAGTATATGTGCAGTGATTTCACTTTTAATTTGCCTTGATGCCTGGACATTATAGGTGTATTTGGTAGATTATGGCCTTGCTTATCGATACTGCCCGGAAGGAGTTCATAGAGAATATAAAGAAGATCCCAAGAGATGTCACGATGGCACTATTGAATTCACCAGCATTGACGCACACCGTGGCGTGGGTACGTTGTCCACACTGCAGTGACTACACTGCTCATGATTTCAGCAGAATTCCTGTATCATCCTAATTATGTGTAAATAGAGGTAACAATCAGAAGAGTCAAAGTAGGATGGTAAAAGAGGGCAGAGGTTAAACTCCAGGCCTTGTGTGTTTGTTGTTTTCTTTCCTCTTCATTCTCTTGTCCTTCAAAGATGACCAAGAAGCATATAAAAAACAAAAACAAAGATGACCAGGAGGGTTATAGCAAGGAGGTTTGTTGTTCCACTGCAGTGAGGCTTCTTTGGGGCTCACATAGCTTACCTCAGTGTTGGTTAGGGGTGTGTGTGTGTGTGTGTCTTAGAGTCTTGTGTCTTGTATAGGTACATATAATAGGAAGCTTTTGGTTTGTCACCTATTATGATAGCTTCTTAATCAGCCATGTCTTTTTTTTTTTTTTTTTCTGTACTGAAACTATTGAGGATTTGAAACACCCAGTTCTATGGTCCTTTTCGTAGTCTGTAACTTTTAATATCTTCATGTTTTCTTTTTCTTTTGGTGGAACTGGGGATTGAACTCAGGCCCTTGCACTTGCCAAGGAAGCGCTTCTTCTACTGAGCCATCTCCCCCGCCTGCTTCATGTTTTCTAAAGGCAGTATTAAATGTGTCATGGTTTTTTAATTTCTTTCTTTCTTTCTTTTTTTTTTTTTTGGGTGGAACCAGGGATTGAACTGAGGCCCTTGCGCTTGCCAGGCAAACGCTTCTTCTCCAGAGCCATCTCCCTGGCCCCTTTGATTTATTTCCTAAACTGATTGAGTTTCAAATCTTAAAGTTTACCAGTTTAAATTTTAAAGTACATTATTGGAAATAAAATAGTTTGTGCTACCCAGTGTTCGTGCTTTTGTTATATGGCTCCAGCTGTAATGGAAAGCGGACCGCGCAGTTGTCTTGTGAGTGCTTGAGATGGTACCTTACAGGTCACGCTAGCGTGCCGACTTTCCTCGCTCTGTGCTTGCAGCCCCGTCACGACGCGGTGATTTGGAAATCCTCGGCTACTGCATGATCCAGTGGCTTAGTGGCCATCTTCCTTGGGAGGACAATTTGAAGGATCCAAACTATGTTAGAGATTGCAAAATTAGGTAAAGGACAACTTAAGTTACTTTTAGTGCACTCACAAGAGGCAGACGTGTTCAGTCAGCGCTTGTGGAATGTCATTTTAAGTGGTGCTGACGTGGATGGAGGGGAGGAAGTCCTTGCTCCGCAGCAGGGTTCTTGGCCTGCTGCTCCTGCTGGTTTGGGAGAATGTCTGTAAGCTCACTTTGATGTAATGCAGTGTTACCTAATGTCCCACTCATTGTTTCTAAATATTGATGCCCTATAATGTCAAGCTTTGAGTGACTCGCTTAATATTTTAACAGATACAGAGACAATATTGCAAGTTTGATGGAAAGATGTTTTCCTGAGAAAAACAAGCCAGGTAAGAATAACTTTTTTTTTGTTTGTTTTTAATGTATTTGTTACAGGGTCTCACTTTGCAGCTTGAATTCGTAGTGATCCTCCTGTTTTCAGCCTCTTCAGTGCTGGGATTACCATAGCCCGGTCTCGCTGGCCAGTTGGGGATGGGGCCAGTGTGGTGTGTGGTGCCAGGGATCGAATCCTGGTCCCTATGGTTGCCTAAGCAGGTGCTTAGTTTGCTGAGCTGTCTCGCCAGCCCAAGCATAACTTTTAAAAATGTTTATAGGGATTTTATTTTCTGGGCGGAAAAAGATTTGATGTCTATGAAAGTCCCTTTAATGTAAGAGCCTATGCATTTTAAAGCATAGTTAGTGTATTCTTATTAAAAACACATACCTTTTCAAAGATGAATTGTGAATTGAGTTTTTCTTTGTTGTTGTTTTTTGTTGTGGTACCAGGGATCAAGCTCTGGACCTTGCGCTTGCCACGCAGACTCCTGTGCCTGCTGAGCTATCTCCCGGGCCTTTTTTTAAATGAATGTTTAAACCTCTTTCAGTTGTTAGTACTTTTAGAATAGGAAGCAGGTTTCAGGCGTGTGTTCTGCTGGTGTTCACTAAGGCTGGACTGTGGCCTGAGGCCTGTCATGGCCCTAGGCGTACATCTGTGAAGGAAAATCAGAGCCCCTACCCTCATGAAGCTGACGGGCTGGTGGGGAGTGATGGGGGAAATGAGTCAGACTTGCAGCATCGGCTCGTTACTGCCATACACAGTAAGTACCCAGGGAATGGGGCCGGGGGCCGTGGAGATGGGCGAGGGAATGAAGTGGGGGAGAGGCCTGAGGGTTTACATAGCGTGGCCAGGCCAGCCTCTCGGAGGGCACAGCTGTGGGAGTGCAGGGAGGCGGCAGCTGGGTGGGAGTCTGGAGAAGAAGAGTATTCGCCATGGGCCCCCGCTGCATGGGTCCGAGGGATGCGGCATCCGAGGGCCTTGGGTAGAAGTGGTGAGGTGGACAGTTCTGCCCTTTGCCTCTCACAGAGGGAAAGTTTTCAGTATTGTGCCTGATACAGTGATGCTGTTGAGGGCTTTTGTAGATCCTGTCTATTGGATTAATACAATGGAAAGTTAGGATTTTTTTCCTGCTGTATCCCAAGTGTCTAGAATAGTGGCTGGCACATAGTGAGGGCTTAGATATTTAAATTACTGAGCATGTGCGTGCTGCATGTGTGTGGCAAGGACAAGTTGTTTTGGTGTAGTGGGTGTGGGGTGGGAAGACGAGAAGGTCCAAGCAGGAGGGACTGAGACTTGGGCTTGAGGGAGAAGGATGAGCGTCTCAGTAACTGCTGTCGCAGGGAGACCTCGGAGCAGGGTTTGGAGTTAGGTTCGAGTTTGCATTGGGATCTGTATATGGCAGTTATATGGCAGTGACTGTATGTCCGGAGGTCAGAGGGAAGAGCTGGTTGTGTTTGTTGGCCCAGCGCTGGGCTTTTGCTGGTGGAGGAGGGCTGCTCCGGATGGGTGGGATCCCCCCAGGCGGGGTGTGGTCCTGCTCAGTGCACAGTAGCCAGTTTATCCTCCAGAAGCCAGTTTTTCTTTTCTTTGGAATAACAGGACCTTAGTTCTTTCTCAGTCTCTTCTCTTTTTTAAAAAATGATACTACAGAACTCTTAGCTGCTCTGTCCCCAAAATACTGGCCACGATACACAATGTATTTAAGGGCATTTCACTTCCAGAATCTTTTTTATTTTTAATTTTTATTTAAAAAAAATTTTTATTGAGAAATAAATATGAATGAGACAGTTTCACAGCTGATTAATAGGACAGTTTTGATAATCATTACACTGTACATTGTTATCTTCTTAGTGGTTATCCATAGTACAAGAATCAGACAGGATATTCTGTCCAAACACTGTTAGTATACTCTTTCTTCTCTTTGAATTAAGTGAAAGTAGCTGTAAATTTATCCTATTTTGTATATATAAATACAAAATCATGTTTCCTTTTGTCCTGTCAGAGGTGAATAGTCTATTGGCATCTAAATACTATAGGTGTTTGAATTCAACTAAACAATCTAACAGTGTCTAGCAGTCTATAATATTAGTGGGTTATCCTCAGAAGTTATTGACTTGAGCCTTTTACAGCTCATCGTATTAATACGGATTTACTTTACATACCTTGTTTTTATACTTTTTTGCTGGATGGTTAAGACCAAGATATAGCAAGACCTATATGCCAAGAAATGGAACTTTTGTATCTGATAAGGTCAGCCAAGTACTCTCAGGATTTATCCTGTAGCCCTGTACTGCCCTTTGTACATCCTTTTGTCAGTGTCAGACATGAGGATGAGTCACGGCCATTGCTTGACCAATTTGCTCTCTGTGAAAGCCTGAAAAAATGTTTTTTTTCTCTATGTGACTCTTCCCAGGCTCACTTTAGATCATCGAACACATTCCTCTGTGGCTCCATAATCTTCTTGATCAGAAAATTTGGAGCACAACTGAGTTACATGTTGTTACAGTACAGGTTCTCCTATGTCCCAAGTCTTCACTGACCTTGAAAGGCTAGAGCCAAAATGTTGGCTGACCATGCAGCCCTTCCTTTTCTCCAATTTTGATCTGCTAACTTAGGTTGTTAACCCTCCAGAAGAGAAGCTAATTATTAACCTTCAATATATGCAGTTCTGTTTACCCTATCTGTCTAAATATCAAACATTTTGGCATATCAGGGAACAGGTATTTTCCATCAAATATTGGTATGTTGAACTTTAAGTCCTTACAGAATATGAAGGAAAGATAATTTTATAAAAGTAAAACTAAGCATTTACATATTTTTACAAAGAAATTTAGAAACCTAACCATATACGGAATTGTACAGAATCTTTTTTCCAGGCCCTTTTAATTTTTTTATAGCTTTAAAACTAAAAGTTAATTTTTATGCATATTTAAAAATTTTAGTATGTATTCTCTGCTTTTGGTTCTCACAGTTACAAAATTGATTTTTATATTGTATCTCAGATGTTTATTTTACTTACCTGTCAAGTTCCAAATTCAAATGATTGAACAAAAATTCATAACTTAATATGCTACATGCTTGCATTCTAATTTTGCTAAGATCCTGAATTGTTTTCCTAGAAGTAAGACAAATGTTTCAGATTTGTGATTAAGTTGTACTTTTAGGTGAAATTGCTAAATATATGGAAGCTGTGAAATTACTGGACTACACTGAAAAGCCTCTTTATCAGAAGTTCCGTGATATTCTTTTGCAAGGACTGAAAGCTCTAGGAAGTAAGGACGACAGCAAGCTGGACCTCGGTGTTATCGAGAACGGAAATTTGAAAGCAAAAGCAGTAGCAAAGGTGAGTTTTGTTCCTCAATTATGCTTTGAGCTTCTTATGATTATAGTTGCAACAATTGCTCAGTGAAGAAAATAACAGATTGCTTGGCAATTAAATATTTATCACCGCTGTGTAAGTGCAAACTTGGTATAGAGGGTTGTAGAAAAATAGATGTGTGTATACTTCTTTTATGTAGTAATATGTTATTAAGTGTCTCAAATGATTTTAGCTTGGAGTACTGGCACGTAGTGAAGATATTTTGGCCTCTTGATGAGCAGGTGTATGTTCTTTTCTCTCAGGTGCCCCCTGAGGGTCAAAGTGCTTGCCATTTGAAAATTTCCTTTTTTTTTTAAACTGACTTTTTAAAGTTATTTATTTTTTTGGTGCTAGGATTGAACTCAGGACCTTGCACTTGCCAGGCAGGCGCTTAAGCCACTGAGATATCTCTTCAGCCCTAGCTATTTTTACAAAGGAAAGAAAAATTACTCTTAGAAGAAAAGTTTTCTTTTGATTCTTTTTATTGTTACTCTGTAAAAATCTAGATTTCTTTGGAACTATTCCAAACTAGGAGAAAAGGCTTTAATAAGCAAAGTATCTTTAAAAAGCAAAAACAGCCTGTTAAATGATTTTTGTAAATCTTTAACTTGCAAAGCAGGTAGTAGGAGTGGGATGTAGCTCAGTAGTACAATGCCTGCCTGGCAAGCATGAGGTTGTGAGTTCAATTCCCGGTACCAAAACAAACAAACAAGAATTTCAAAGTTGTATCATGAAATTTACCTTCTTGGCAAATACATATTTCCTTTCACAAGTTTGTCCCACAGTCTCCGCTCCATGTCTGTGGTCCACAGGTGTGCTGAAAGCCGACTACAGGTTTCAGATGAGGAAGGTCAGTGGAAGCAGCCTGGGAGTTTTCATCAGGATAGCAGCAGAAAACATGCATTTTGTTGCTCAGGACAGATTTCGCTGCCTTAATATTATAGGTAGCTTCTGTACTGCATTTCTCCAAAACATAACTGATTGAGAAATAAAGGTCTCTGTTGTAATGAGAACACCTTTCTTCTTCAAACCCCTGTGGTTTGAACCTACGTGCCAGAGATTTGGTCTCTGCAGGTTGGCTGACTTTTCACCTGAGTAGGTCAGGGTGCTGCGGAGCTAACATCTGTGACCTTATCAGTTTTTCGTGTCCTTGTGTGACTTCTGAGGCTGGGAATTTCATGTTGAATCCCCCGTGTGAGTAAATCTTCAGGTAAGGTGAAATAAATTGAGTATGCCAAGTGGAGCTACTGGGAGGTCTGCTTCATTAGTTCACTGGGGTTTACGTACTCAGTGCTGACGTATAGTTGTTTTTATAGTAAAAAGAAATTAGCAAAAGTTAAGATTAGATTAGGTAAGATTATGAAACTACATGAGAGCCATGCCACTGAAATGTGTTTTTAGTGTGATCGGCTTTTTCTTTATAAAGTGAAATAGTTGGACAATACTAGCTTTAAGATTTTCTTATCTTTTATTCTTAAGCCAAAAAACTTTTTTCTCCTAGTACGCTGAAAGTGCTTTGATTTAAAACAGAAGGTCTCTATAGATTGAAAAGGTGGGGCTCCCATATAGTTTCAGAAACAATATGCTGTGTCCTGCTCAGCAGTTTATTCTGTAGTTCAGTTGTCTTTTCTCCCCGTGGTTACCAGGAGGCTCAGAAGTGAATATGGTGCTTAATCTTAGAAACACAAGAATCACTGTAATTGGCATGTTTGCTCCTTTTCCTTGCTCATAATTCTTTGAATTATAAAGTATATGTGCTTTGTATTTAACAGTGATGTCTTTTAGAAAAAAGTAGGTTTAATTAGTTCAGTTTATTTCTGGTTAGGTTCATAAGAGAGGTCCTTTATGCTAAATTTATAGGAATTGATTAACAATGGAATGAAGCAAGGCATTTGTTCTTTTGTGTGTGTGTGTGTGTGTGTGTGTGTGTGTGTGTGTGTAACTGGCGTAGCCTGTTTGGAAACTTGAATGAAATGAGTTTGCTGATTTGGAAATGTGTTCGACTCAGTGGTCAAGGAATTTTACTCATATACTAGAACTTTGGAATATTGTAAGCTTGAAGAAGAAAGAGACCAAATATAAATCTGTTTAGTTGTAATCGATAATGAAAATCTGGCTTTGTATTTTCACTAAACACTATTTCATGAGAAACGGGCAGTACATTGCAATAGTTATTGGATTTAGTGTGTACTCCTAAATCAACATTCAATAGTTATTGTATAAGGCTCGATTTATGTACCTGGTCTTGACTTAGTCCCTGGGGCTACAAAGATCAATAACTCGTCCCATCCTTAAAGAATTCCTCTGTAGCCCTTCCAGGCTAGGAGCAGCTTAATTTACTGGAAGGAGCTCAGTGAGTTAAAAGGACATTAATACCTCCATTAGCCATTTTCTTCTACGGTTTTGATTAAGTTGCCTGTCCAACTCAACAGAAAGCACTGTTGATTGGAGTCACTGCAGCCTCATCCCCAGGGATTCATCCAGTAGCTCTAGAGCTCGGCCCTGCCTTTTGCCTTTTGGCTTTTCACTTTGGCAGTGTTTGTTATCCCTGTGAGTGATGTGGCCGTGCCCTTCTTTCCCTCCAGCTTATTATATTTAGTTTTTAAATCTCATTTTTTAGTTAGGTTAATTGGTCTTTCTAGTTTCTCTGAAAAATCATCAGCCATTGTTGCGTAAATCTGTGCTGGCGTCAGCCTAGAACAGGGTGCAGGGAGTTGAAGGACAGAGGGCCGCTGTTGCTCTGGCTCCTTTTGCCCTGTCTCTTCCCAGGTGATGGCTTCTCACACAGTGTTTAGCCCATGCAGCCCGCAGTTTCAGTAGGCTCTCCTCAGATACGTGCTCTGATTTGGGAGAAAACCTGTCCACCAGTGTTGACATGAAATTGTAGTAGAGAGAGACTGCGTGTTCATTGTACACATTTAGAGTGTCCAAGTGGATTGTATATTTCTGTTTTCTAACAGCTTGATTTATAGCACTGTGTTTTTGTGGTGTTTACTAATATTTTCAGATGGATCCATTTTGATTTCTTTATTTGGAACCTTATTTTGTCAAGTAGGTCTTTTCCTCATAATTTTTTTTAAATGAAAAAAATCTTTCACGTATTTATGTATTTGGTACAGGGTCTTGCTATGCAGCTCAGACTCAGGCAACTCTCCTGTCTCAGCCTCCCTGTGCTAGGATTACAGGAATGTACCACCACTCCCGGTTTCAGTTGCCGGCACAGCATGGGGCTGGCACAGCATGCAGTACTGGGGATTGAACCCTGGTCCTTGCACTTGCCAGGCAGGCATTTAGACCACTGAGCTATCTCTCCAGCACTCCTCATAAATTTTTGCATGAGCTTTTACATATACACAGAAAAATGCACAACTAAGTGTGGAATTTGAACTTTACAGAGTGAACATATGCATTTAGACGTCACCCAGATCAAGATACGGATAATTACTGGAATTAGGTTTTTTTTTTTTTATTGTGAATGATATTTATTATTAAATTCCAAAGTAAAAGAATAAGGGCAAAATATTGAAGAAATTATGCCAAAAGGCCGGAATTAGTTTTGCCATTTAAAAAATATGTAGGAAAAAAAGTATAGGAGTGACTATGTAGTCTTCAGGTTTTTACATTCAGTTTTATTTTGAGTTTCTATGATTTACATAGAAACTTTTTTGTATTTGCTATATAGTACTACATTTTGACTATGTTTGTAATTTAGTTATCTGTTGTATTGATAGACACTTGAATTATTTCTACTTTTAGACAATTATAATAATATTAAGGATGTTATGATTTCTTTTGAGAAACATTTATTTCAGATTTGGTATATGTAGTGACATTGCTGAGGTATAGGGTATAGGACATGGATGATGTTCAGCTTTAGTAGGCAGTAACCAGTTTTCCAAGTTTGCTGTCTCTCTCTCCTTTTTTTTTTGTATTTTAGGGAAGGGTCTACAGGGTGTTCAGGGTGTCGCTACTAGATTGGACTCATAGTGATCCACCTGTTTACAGCCTCCCAAGAGCTGGGATTACAGGCATGTGTCACTTCACGCAGTCTCAATTGCTGTCTCAGTGCACCCCTGGGATGGGGCTTGCACAGCAGCCTGGGGGATCGAACCCCTGGCCCCTGCTCCTGCTTGCAAGTGCTTTAATCTGCTGAGCTATTTGGCCAGCCCAAAATTTGAAGATATATATATATATTTTTCCCCCCACTTCCGGGTGCCATAAGGACATGTCTTGCACAGCTTCTCTAACTGGGAATCGAACCGCCCTATTATGCACCTGACTTCATTTGCCCAAGTGGTGATCTACACAACTGAGCCAACCAGCAAAGCCCCTGCTGTCTCAATTTATGTTCACACCAGCACTTCATGGGAATTTCAGTTACTCTCTGACACTAGCTATTGCATTATATTTACTTTTATCTATTTAATGGGTTGCTCTGATTTTTTAGGGTTTTTATTTGATCTCATTGAAGTATATTGATTTTGAGTACCTTTTTGAATGCAGATTGGCCTTAATTATCTTTTTAGTGTGCCTGAAGTGCTTTTATTTTCTCTTTTTTTTTAGGAAAATGTGAATTTTTTGATTTACCAGAATAAATCGAATAAATCTAGTACTTTATATACCTTTGCGTGTGCTGCACATGCCCTCTCCAGTGGTTCATCTTTTTACTCTCTTTACAGCTTTTAATAAATAGAAATTCGTTTAAATGAAGCCTAACTCACCAGTCGTTCTGTTTGTGGTTCCTGCTTTTTGTGTTCTATTTAGGGAAACTTTGTCTACCTTAGGGATCATGAAGCTGTGAAGTTATCATCAAGAAATTTTATCACAATTAGACCTAAAATTTAGCAGAAGTTGATTCTGTGCATGATGTGAGTCAGTATTTGTTCCCCTTGGTGAACATCTAGCTGATCTGAGCCATTTACTGAAAAGGCTGTCGTGTCCCCGGAGTCCACAGCAGGTTCTGAGAGCCACGTGTTAGGTCTGCT